GCTTCTGAGGTAGCTGGAATTACAGGCACGAGCCACTTCACCTGGCTAATTTTTATATTTTTCGTAGAGGCAGGGTTTTGTCAGGTTGTCCAGGCTGGTCTTGAACTCCTGGCCTCAAGTGATCTCTCACTGTGGCCTCCCAAACTGCTGGGGTTATAGGCGTGGCTACCATGCCCAGTCGATCTTTTCATTTAATTTAAATTTGATTTCATTAAACAGCCAGTGATGCCAGGTACTGTACGGTGGTTGGTTGCAAAATGCGCCCTGACTTCTATACTTCTGAGTAGTGTCAGTGGAAGTGAACACAGTATCTTAAAATCAACATTATGAAGGCACCACTGGTTGTCTCTGCATTTTTTCCACAAACACTCAGTTTTCAGGCTGACAGCATAAGTCCTGACAGTGTCACTTCTGATTAGACATAAATACTCTGTGGGCTGCCCATCGTTGTGTTTCCCATAATACTTTATTAATAATTTGGTCTTTCCTCAACAATTTTATTTATTTATGAGTTCTCAAGGGAAATGAAAATTGCATCTTGGTGACTGGGGAAGAATTTGGGATATTATAATTGGGTCACGGTACCTGAATGGTATGTCTGTGCTATTAAAATTTCATTGGAAGGGTTATTAGGAAAAACATGTCAAAAAAAGGCTGGAGGGAATAGTTATTGGTGAAGATGAAAAACAGTTGATAAACCTTGAGCTACCTCTAGTAAAGGTAATAGTCTCACTTGACCATATCATTAACAGACTTTGAAAGGCTTTATTTTTCTATATGATTTGAGTATCTGTTTCTTAATTGGTTGTTATTGTAGTTATTGGTGTAGCTATTTCTTGATACAGGAGATACTGCATGTATGGAGTGAGTGTGTGAGAGAGTGTGTATGTGTGGGTGGGTGGGTGTGTTTATGTGTGGGTGTGTAAGGTGAAGGGGCTGTAATTAGATTCTGTTCAAATGACCCAGTCATTTCAAAATAAACACCACATTGCTTCTTCAGACTGGGTATAAGATTATCAAGACAATGGAAATGTGGAAAAATGAGAAAAAGGAGAGGGCTTAGGAACTATTAGACTATCCTAGACTTGATCTGAGCAAGTTCTAGTCTTAGAATAATTTTTAAAAGTCACATGAAATATACCTGAATAACAAAGTTGAAGGGTTCCTAATTAAGCTCATAAAGTAATGTGAATGTCTTTTTTTTTTTTTTTTTTGAGACGGAGTTTCGCTCTTGTTACCCAGGCTGGAGTGCAATGGCGCGATCTCGGCTCACCGCAACCTCCGCCTCCTGGGTTCAAGCAATTCTCCTGCCTCAGCTTTTTGTATTTTTAGTAGAGACGGGGTTTCACCATGATGACCAGGATGGTCTCGATCTCTCGACCTCGTGATCCACCCGCCTCGGCCTCCCAAAGTGCTGGGATTACAGGCTTGAGCCACCGCGCCCGGCCTAAGTAATGTGAATGTCTTATGAAGATTTTTTCTTTCTTTCTTTCTTATTTTTTTAAGACAGAGTTTTACTCTGTTGCTCAGGCTGGAGTGTAGTGGTGATACTCCTGCCTTGGCAGGTGGATCACTTGAGGTCAGGAGTGTGAGACCAGCCTGCCAACATGGCAAAACCCAGTCCCTACTAAGAGTCCAAAGATTAGCTGGACGTGGTGGTGTGAGCCTGTCATCACAGCTACTTGGGGGGCTGAGGTGGGAGAATCACTTGTACCTGGGAGACAGAAGTGCCACTGCACTCTAGCCTGGGCAACAGAGCAAGACTCTGTCTCAGAGATTTTTTTTTTTTTTTTTTTTTTGAGACAGGGTCTTTGTCGCCCGGGTGGCAGTGTAGTCGTGCCTCCTGGGTTCAAGTGGTCCTCCCACTTCAGCCTCCCAAGTAGCCGGGTCTCCAGGCGTGTACCACCACGCCTGGCTAGTTTTTAGTAGAGACCGGGTTTCACCATTTCACCCATGCTGGTTTCAAACTTCATGTGTCCTAGACTCAAGTGATCCTCTCTCCGCGACCTTTCTCAAAGTGCTAGGATTACAGGCGTGAGCCACTGTGCCCTGCCGTCTTCGTACATAAATCTTAAAAGCACCTCAAGATCTTTCCTATAGATGAATACATACACTGAAGTCTCAGTGGTTTTGGATATGCACATCTGCATCAAGTCAAAAAATAAGACTCCCTTTCTGCAATCCTATTTCTTAGTGTTAAACACTCCTTACTTTTTTTTTTTTTTTTTTTTAAAGATGGAGGCTTGCTCTGTCACCCAGGCTGGAGTGCAGTGGTGCTATCTTGGCTACCTCCTCCTCCCAGCCAGGTTCAAGCAATTCTCAGGCTTTAGCCTTCCGAGTAGTCAGGATTACAGGCATGTGCCACCTCGCTCAGCTAATTTTTGTCTTTTTCTTTTTTTTTTGAAATGGAATGTCACTCTGTCACCGAGGCTAGAGTCCAGTGGCATGATCTTGACTCACTGCAACCTCCGCCTCCTAGGTTCCAGCGATTCTTCTGCCTCAGGTGACCTGCCTACCTTGGCCTCCCAAAATGCTTGGGATTACATGTGTGAGCCACTGGGCCTAGCTCAATTGTATACTTTTCTTTTCTTTTCTTTTTTTTTTTTTTTGAGGCGGAGTTTCACTCTTGTTACCCAGGCTGGAGTGCAATGGGGTGATCTCGGCTCACCGCAACCTCCGCCTCCTGGGTTCAGGCAATTCTCCTGCCTCAGCCTCCTGAGTAGCTGGGATTACAGGCACGCGCCACCATGCCCAGCTAATTTTTTGTATTTTTAGTAGAGACGGGGTTTCACCATGTTGACCAGGTTGGTCTCGATCTCTTGACCTCGTGATCCACCCGCCTTGGCCTCCCAAAGTGCTGGGATTACAGGCTTGAGCCACCATGCCCGGCCTATACTTTTCAACTGTCAAGTGATGGATTTCATATCATGTAAATTTCTCTCAATACGAAACATTAGTTTGGGTGCAGTGGCTCATGCCTGTAATCCCAGCGCTTTGGGAGGTTAAGGTGGGCAGACCACTTGAATCCAGGAATTTTGAGACCAACCTGGGCAACATGGTGAAGCCCTGTCTCTGCAACAAATACAAAAATATTAGCCAGGCATGGTGGTTTGTGCCTGTGGTCCCAGCTACTCTGGAGCCTTAGCTGGGAGAATCACTTAAGCCTGGGAATTTGAAGCTGCAGTGAACCGTGATTATCGCACTGCACTCTATCTTGGGTGACAGAGTGAGACCCTGTCTCCAAAAGAAAAAGAAAAAGAGAAATTTGAGCTATACTCCTCTCCACTAAAGTGGAACGTCAGAAAATCCTAATTATTAATGAGAATGTGATATAATTGGAACTATCACAGTCGTTGGAGTGTATATTAATAATACCTTTAGAAATTATTTGGCCTGTCTACTAAAGCTGAACATATACACAGGTGTAAGATACACACAGGGGCTGTCATTTAGCACTTTCACACCAGCCAGTGTATATGTAACCATTAGAATGTTACAGCAGTTATTTTAAATAGCCACACACTAAGAATAGCCCAATGTCCATGTGTAGCAGAAAAAATGATTACATTGTCATAGATGTAATCTGTGAACTTACTATAAAATGAGAATGGACTACAAGTATACCTAACAGCTCATCTTGTGAAAATTTAACAAGTTATATACTTATGATTTGTATATGCATTTATATGTGTATATTCTATTTGAAAACAGTTTGTATCAAAATAATAGGTATGGCTGGGCATGGGGGCTCACACCTGTAATCCCAGCACTTTGGGAGCCTGAAGCGGGAAGATCAGCTGAGGCCAGGAGCTTGAGACCAGTTTGGCCAACGTGGTGAAACCCCGTCTGTACTAAAAATATAAAAATTAGCTGCGCGTGGTGACACATGCCTGTAGTCCCAGCTACTCAGGAGGCTGAGGCAGGAGAATTGATTGAACTGGAAACATGGAGGTTGCAGTCAGCTGAGATCGTGCCGTTGCACTCCAGCCTGGGTGACAGAGCAAGACCCTGCCTGAAAAAACATAAATTGATTTTAAAAATAAAAATAAATAAATAAATATGGCCGGGCACAGTGGCTCATCCCTGTAATCCCAGCACTTTGGGAAGGCAAGGCGGGCGGATCATGACATCAAGAGATCAAGACCATCCTGGCCAACATGGTGAAACCCCACGTCTACTAAGAATACAAAAAAATTAGCTGGGCGTGATGGCACACGCCTGTAGTCCTAGTTACTCGGGAGGTTGAGGCAGGAGAATTGCTTGAACCCGGGAGACAGAGGTTGCAGTGAGCCGAGGTCACACCACTGTACTCCAGCCTGGCACCTGGTGATGGAGTGAGACTCTGTGTCAAAAATAAAATAAAGTAAAATAAAATAAAAATAATAAATACATAAATAAAATAGATATTGCCTAATGAACACTATCAAAGTAATTTAAATTTTTACTTGGAGGCCAAGGTAAGTGGATTGCTGGAGCCCACAAGTTAGAGACCAGCTTGGGTTTTGTTTTTGAGACAGAGTCTCACTCTGTTGCCCAGGCTGGAGAGCAGTGTTGCAATCTCAGCTCACTGCAACCTCTACATCCCTGGTTCAAGGGATTCTTCTGCCTCGGCCTCCCGAGTAGCTGGGACCACAGGTGTGCATCACCATGCCTGACTAATTTTTTTTTTTTTTTTTTTGTATTTTTGATAGAGACTGGGTTTCACCGTATTGCCCAGGCTGGTCTCGAACTCCTGGGCTCAAGCGATCCTCCTGTCTTGGCCTCCCAAAATGCTGGGATTACAGGTGTGAGCCACCACATCCAGCCTAGTTCTCTTTACTTTTTTGCATATTATGCCCTTTTGTTATTTTATACCTTTACTGAATGTGTAAAAAGCGAAAATAATATTTTGGGTTGTATCCACAGGGGCTTTACATTTAGTTGCTATTAAAATTTAATCTTCTTATAGCTGTTATTCAGATATTTAAGTAGATGACACGAGTAATTTCTGTATTTTGCAGGCAGATTTTGTTAACAAACCAGTAAATGGCCCCAAGTCAGAATCCATGGACTACAGTAAATATGGTCATGGGGAAGAACAAAAATCGGAATTGAACCCACATCCTGTTGAAAATGTAACTAAAAATGAAGAAAACATGACAGGCATCGAGGTGGAGAAGTGGACACAAAACAAGAAATCACATTTAACTGATCACGTCAAAGATTTTAGTGCCAATGTCCCAGAACCTGAAAAATCGAACAACTCTGAAGTTGACAAGAAACGAACCAAACCTCCAAAATTGTTTGTACAAACCATAAGAAATGGCATTAAACATGTGCACTATTTACCCACTGAACCAAATGTGTCATTTAAAAAATTCAATATTGAATCATTCAGCAAGACATTGGAAAACAATTCATGTAAATTCCTAAAAGACACTGCAAACCATAACAACGCTGTGAGCTCCGTTGCTACTGATATGAGTTGTGATCATTTCAAGGGGAGAAGTAATGTTTTAGTATTCCAGCAGCCTGGCTTTAACTGCAATTCCATTCCACATTCTTCGCACTCCAACATAAATCATCATGCTAGCATACACAATGAAGGTGATCAACCAAAAACTCCTGAGAATATACAAAGTAAAGAACCAAAAGATGGATCTCCAGTTCAACCAAGTCTCTTGTCGTTAATGAAAGATAGGAGATTAACATTGGAGCAAGTGGTAGCCATAGAGGCCCTGACTCAACTCTCAGAAGCCCCATCGGAGAATTCCTCCCCATCAAAGTCAGAGAAGGAGGAAGAATCAGAGCAGAGAACAGCCAGTTTGCTTAATAGCTGCAAAGCTATTCTCTACTCTGTAAGAAAAGACCTTCAAGACCCAAACTTACAAGGAGAGTCACCAAATCTTCATCACTGTATATCTTTGGGAAAACAAAATTCATCCAGCACGGTGGTTTTCAATGGGCAAACTACAACTCTTTCCAGCTCACATATCAGTTCAGCTACTAACCCAGCATCCACGAAGTCACATGAATATTCAAAAGTCACAAATTCATTATCTCTTTTTGTACCAAAATCAAATTCATCCAAGACTGACACGAATAAAAGTGTTACTCAAGGGATAATTGCTCTTGACAATTGTTCCAATAATTTGCCTCAGTTGCCACCAAGAAATAATGAAGTTGGATATTGTAACCAGTTCCTGGACAGCAGTAAAAATTTGGACTCAGATGATCTATCATGTCAGGATGCAGCCCACACCCAAATTGAGGAAGATGTTGCAACACAGTTGACACAACTGGCTTCAATAATTAAGTTCAATTATATAAAACCAGAGGACAAAAAAGTTGAAAGTACACCCACAAGCCTTGTTGCATGTAATATACAGCAAAAATACAATCAAGAGAAGGGCACACTACAACAGAAACCACCTTCAAGTGTACAAAATAATCATGGTGCATCATTAACAAAGCAAAAGAACACAACCCAGAAAAAGACAAAATCCACCCCATCAAGAGATCGGCGGAAAAAGAAGCCCACTGTTGTAAGTTATCAAGAAAATGATCCGCAGCAGTGGGAAACATTGTCCTATGCCTATGGCACAGTATGTGACATTTGGATTGCATCGAAATTTCAAAAATTTGGGCAATTTTGTTCACATGATTTTCCTACCGTATTTGGGAAAATTTCTTCCTCAACCAAAATATGGAAACCACTGGCTCAAACAAGGTCCATTATACAACCCAAAACAATATTTCCTCCACTCACTCAGATAAAATTACAGAGGTATCCTGAAGCAGTAGAGGAAAAGATGAAGGTTGAACCATTGGATTCACTCAGCTTATTTCATCTTAAAACGGAATCCAACGGGAAGGCATTCACTGATAAAGCTTATAGCTCTCAGGTACAGTTAACAGCGGATGCCAATCAGAAAGCCCATCCTTTGACCCAGCCCTCCTCTCCACCTAACCAGTGTGCTAACATGACGGCTACCGATGACCAAATACCGTTTCAACAGGTTGTTAAGGAGCAACTCATGCATCAGAGACTGCTAACATCGCCTGGTATTTCTCATGAAACACCCTTACCGGAGTCAGCACTAACTCTCAGGAATGTAAATGTCGTGTGTTCAGGTGGAATGACAGTGGTTTCTACCAAAAGTGAAGAGGAAGTCTCTTCATCCACTGTTGGAACATCAGAGTTTTCCACGGTGGACAGTGCACAGAAAAATTTCAGTGATTATGCTATGAACTTCTTTACTAATCCTACAAAAAACCTAGTGTCCATAACTAAAGATTCTGAACTGCCCACCTGCAACTGCCTTGGTGAGTACTTGTGTGGATGTGTTCTTATTCCAACTACACAAATTACCTCAGTCATGACTGAGGCAAATTCTGATACATCTTTTTGTGTGATATTTTTCCCCATTCTTATTCTAAGATGGATTAAATAAATCTATAACCATTTGTCTGTGGGACATTTTGGTTCTGCTCACAAGAATGGAAAACTCAACTCATAGTTTGCAAAAACAAAGATAAACCTCAAAATATGCAGATTTCTCTCAAAGTTGAATGTCTCAATTTATTTGGCATAGCATAAGAATGAATTTCCTAGGCCAGGTGTGTTGGCTCTTGCCTGTAATCCCAACACTTTGGGAGGCCAAGTCAGATGGGTCACTTGAGGTTAAGAGTTCTATACCAGCCTGGCCAATATGGTGAAACCCCATATCTACTTAAAATTAAAAAATTAGAGGCCAGTTACAGTGGCTCACGCCTGTAATCCCAGCACTTTGGGAGGCCGAGGTGGATGGATCACAAGGTCAAGAGATCAAAACCATCCTGGCCAACATGGTGAAACCCCATCTCTACTAAAAATACAAAAAATTAGCTGGGCATGGTGGTGCGTGCCTGTAATCCCAGCTACTCAGGAGGCTGAGGCAGGAGAATTGCCTGAACCCAGGAGGCGGAGGTTGCGGTGAGCCAAGATCACGCCATTGCACTCCAGCCTAGGTAACAAGAGCGAAACTCCATCTCAAAAAAAAAAAAAAAAAAATTAGCTGGGCATGGTGGCATGTGCCTGTAGTCCTAGCTACCCTGGAGACTAAGGAAGGAGAATCACTTGAGCCCGGGAGGTGAAGATTGCAGTGAGCCGAGATTGAGCCACTGCACTCCAGCCTGGTGATAGAGCGAGACTCTGTCTCCAAAAAAAAAAAAAATTGGCCAGGTGTGCTGGCTCACGCCTGTAATCCTAGTGCTTTAGGAGGCCGAAGTCAGTGGATCACCTGAGTCAGGAGTTTAAGACCAGCCTGGCCATCATGGTGAAGCCTCATCTTTTAAAAAAAAAAAAAAAAAAAAAAAATTTTAATTAAAATAAAAAAATTTAGTTGGGCTTGGTGGTACACACCTATAATACCAGCTACTCGGGTGGCTGAGGCAGGAGAATTGCTTGAACCTGGAAGGTGGAGGTTACAATGAGCTGAGATTATACTACTGCCCTCCAGATTGGGCAACAGAGCAAGACCCTATCTCAAAAAAAAAAAAAAAAAAAAAAAAAAGAATCACCTTAATAGTTTATTACAGTTTGTTTATTCTTCCTATATTAAAAAAAAGTCAAACTACAATCCTTGCATTATATTTTTGTGTGTGTGAGATAGAAGATACATGTGGAGAATGTAAAACATATGTACAATTTAACAGTTATAAAATATTTCGGTGGCAGTTGCTGTCCTACTCTAGAACTGAAGCTGATTTATGTCTTTTTCAGTATCCAGTGCTTTTGTGTTCTATCCATTACTGTCTTCTTTTTCCAAAGAGCAGTTGATATTCTGAAATAATATCTTTCCATTTCTCTGCAATACAAAATATATCTATGTATAAATAAATTCCATAATCTTGAACACTTGAATTCATAAGCCTTTTTGAGTTTTAACTTTGTTTTGTTTTTGAGATGGAGTCTCACTCTGTCACAAGGCTGGAGTATGGTGGTGTGATCTCAGCTCACTGCAACCTCTGTCTCCCAATTCAAGCAACTCTCCTTCCTCAGTTTCTTGAGTGGCTGGGATTATGGGCATGCGCCACCATGCCCAGCTAATTTTTCTATTTTTAGTAGAGACAGGGTTTCACCATGTTGGTGAGGCTGGTCTTGAACTCCTGACCTCAGGTGATCCACCCATCTCAGCCTCCCAAAGTGCTGGGATTACAGGGGTGAGCCACTGAGCCCAGCTGAGTTTCAACATCTTTAACAAATTTGTCTGATAAATACTGATTTCCTATTTTAAAAAATCAAAGACTAACCAGTGGGCTAACATGAGACATGTGCTAATACCTGACTCATGGACTGATCCCTAACCAATGTATTTATACAATTTTGCGCCTTAGGAGTCATTGAAAGAGAAAATTCTGAAACATTTAGTTTTATTTAGTGTGTTAAAAGCCCTGAGAAAATCTTACTGGGGATAAAGATTCTTGGGTAGATCTTATGAGAAATTTTCTCTGTTTGAAACATGTGAAAGCTTAATTTGAATGCTGTACTGATTAGTTACTGTCTATGGTCAAATATCAGGTAAGCCCTCTTCTAAGAAACCTGTCAATTCTAATATCGCTATAAAAAAATAGAGAAATTAAATAGATTGTGTCGTTAAGATTCATTAGGCTGCTTGAAGCCCCATTATTCTATCATTATACAAGTGTGATAGAATAAATTTTGTAAAAAAAAAATCTGTTTTGAACTTCATCCAAATAGGTTTAGTTATTGAAAGTCTTATTTAAAATATGTCTCCAAATCATAAAGACTCAGTATTTGCCTTCATAAATCTTTGTTATACTGAGGCACAGAGATATTGGAAGTAGGTGGTTCAGTATTACATTCCAGGATGAATTGTTAGGAAGAATAAGTATATCATGCCGATAGAAAAAATAGTGTAGTGTAGCTGGGTGCAGTGGCTCATGCCTGTAATCCCAGCACTTTGGGAGGCCGAGGTGGGTGGATCACCTGAGGTCAGGAGTTTGAAACCAGCCTGGCCAACATGGTGAAATGCCGTCTCTACTAAAAATAAAAAAATTGCCAGGTGCGGTGGTGGGCGCCTATAATCCCAGTTGCTCAGGGGGCTGAGGCAGGAGAATGGCTTGAACCTGGGAGGCGGAGGTTGCAGTGAGCCAAGACTGTGCCACTGCACTCCAGCCTGGACGACAGAGTGACACTCTGTCTCAAAAAAAAAAAAAAAAGAAAGAAAAAATAGTGTATTGTGATGATAATATTTGATTCTTGTTTTTCCAAAGTACACTTGTTCATAAATAATATCCTTCCATTTTTCTGCTCATCATTCAGTACACAGTGTTTTTTAGGTTTTCATTTTGGTTTATTTTGTTTGTGGATATGGGGTCTCACTTTGTTACCCAGACTAGTCTCAAACTCTTGGTCTCAATGATCCTTGCGCCTCGGCTTCCTCATGTGCTGGGGTTCCAGACGTGAGCCACCACCCCAGCTAACACAGTTTTGAACAAACCACGATGTGCCAGTCATCAAGGATAGGCTCCTGTGAGAAGAATCTCACAGTTTGGAAAGAGTGACAATGTTGTCTGAGTGGAGTTGAATTGGAAGAATAAGATTCTTGAATTAAAGAGAGAAGTATATAATCCTGATACTGGCTTCCATTCTGGAGTTCTTAATACCAGTTTGATACTGTGCCTTGCCCTTGACTTGTTATGTTCACAGTAGCTCTTCAGAGTTGGAGGGCTTATTATTTCTGTTATGCAAATAACAGAAGCTGAAGCACAGAGACTTTCATAACTATCCGGTAACTGAACTGAGACTTAGAGACAGCAGTCTTCAACCCCAGAGCCTATCCTTATAACTTACACAATGTTGCTTAATAAATCTGAACTATGAAAGGCAGAACACTTTTGTGAATATCCTTACAAATGGAAATAAGGCCTCTAGTTCAACAAATACGTGCCATTAATGTTTATATACCTGAGCTAGGCTACTTTTTCTGTGTGCATGGTTCTAAAAGGATGATTTTCTAGTTTGAAGACCCTTTCCTTATGCAAAATAACTAGTCAGCATTTAGGAATAGATAGCCAGGCATTCAAAGTTAAATAAGTACCTGCAATGGACTTAGCTGTTTTATTTACTGTCACTAACATGTCTTTAGTAAATCTTACATGTGAATTTATTGTGCTCATTGTGTAGAAAACAGCACTTAAAGACAGAGAAAATAAAAGTGACCTACCTAGTCACTTTTACCGAATCATCCCAAGTAGTACTATCATATTTAAGGGAAAGAATTTCCATGGCAGAATTATGTTCGAGCAAAATAGAGTAATTCATCACTAGATTAGGATTCTTCAAATTGAGCACGACTGGTATTTTATCCTTCATAATTCTTTGTTGTGAGGAGCTGTCTTGTGCATTATGGGAGCAGCACCCCTAACCTCTATCCACTAGATGCCAGTAGTAGTGCACACACATAACTGCTGAATTGTCACACCAAAAATGTCTCCAGGTATTTCCAAGAGTCTCTTTAGCGGCAACATTCCCTGGGTTCAAAATCACTGGGATCACCAAGAATAAGATAAAATCTCTCAAGTGTATATTTCTTAAGAAGCCACAGAAGTAGGCCAGGCTTGGTGACTCACACCTGTAATGGAAGCTGAGGCGGGCAGATCACCTGAGGTCAGGAGTTCCAGACCAGCCTGGCCAACATGGTGAAACCCCGTCTCTACTAAAAGTACAAAATTAGCCAATGTGGTGGCACATGCCTGTAATCCCAGCAACTTGGGAGGCTAAGACAGGAGAATCACTTGAACCCTGGAGGCAAAGGTTTCAGTGAGTCAAGGTGGTGTCACTGCTTTCTAGCCCGAACAACAAGAGCAAAACTCTGTCTCAAAAAAAAAAAAAAAAAAAAAAAAAAAAAATTAAAAACAAGCTACAGAAGTAATTCTGCTACTATTTGACATCTAATCAAAATGACTTTTTGATGTAGGTATACCATGGCCAGAAATTCATGAAATGCAGAAATTCCCCGGTAATTCATGTTACACATGAGTCTAAGGGTCCAAGTTAAAAATAGTATTTTTAGACTGGGCGCTGTGGCTCAGGATTATAATACTCGCACTTTGGGAGGCCGAGGTGGGTGGATCACGAGGTCAGGCGTTCAAGACCAATCTGGCCAACCTGGTGAAACTCTGTCTGTACTAAAAATACTAAAAAATTAATTAGTACATTCCCTTCACTGTGTTTTATACTCAGGTAAAGTCAAAAATAAATGGAATAAGAATAGAGACAGTAGTGTGCCGTGGTAAAAATTAGCTGGGCATGGTGGCATGTGCCTATAATCTCAGCTACTCACGAGGCTGAGGCAGGAGAGTTGCTTGAACTGGGACCCAGGAGGCAGAGGTTGCAGGGAGCTGAGATCATGCCACTTTACTCCAACTTGGGCTACAGAGCAAGACTCCATCTCAGAGAGAGAAAAAAAAAAAAAAAGGAAAGGCATTTTTAAAGAAACACAAAATTAAATCTTCATAAAAAATTCAAGTGGTGCAGAAATATGACACAGACATCTTCCCATACTCTCATTCTCTGAAGATAAAACTTTTGTTATAATTTTCTACGTAAAAGATTATTGATTTTAGTTTTGTTTCCATTTTTACAAAAATTTAAAACAATTTTTCAACTTGGTTTTTAAATGTAATTATATTGTTGATTTTTAAACGTTTTATAAATGCTGTTTCAGTAGATTTATTGCATTTCACTACATAAACAACCCATGATTTATTTAAACTACATGTTATTGACAGATGTTAAGAGTGTTTTGCTCTCTTTCTGATAATTGTATAATAGAATAAGTTGTCTGCAGTGAAATTGCTCTGCTCAATTTTAATAGGATTGTGAGGCCAACCTTTAAGATTTATTGCTCTTGGATAACTTTTAAATTATACCTCAATTAATAGTTTTTTTTAAGCAAGAGATAGGAGTATAAATATGACCCACATCTTAAAATAGTTTTTTCTCCCCTGATTTTCAGAGGAAGAAAGAATTCGTTAGGGGCAGGAAGAAAGGAACATTAAAAGCTAAATTCCATGGCCTGTTGTCCTTGACATTAATTATCAAAGCTTACCAAAACCTTGTCAAGATTCATGGTTCTGAATTGAGGGGGAACAAAAAATATAAAAATAGCTTCTCCTGTCCCCTATGCAATTCTGTAAAGCTTTGGGTCTAATAATCTTATTCCTTCCACAGATCGTGTAATACAAAAAGACAAAGGCCCATATTATACACACCTTGGGGCAGGACCAAGTGTTGCTGCTGTCAGGGAAATCATGGAGAATAGGTGAGGAAATACGCTTCCCTGTTAAAATCATTCTTACTGTGGATCTGACTCAATGCAGATAAATCATCTGTGGGAACAAATGACGTGATTGAAAAATGTTCAGGAGTATGAGTTGGATGTTTCTTAGGGCCCAACAAAGGAGGGGTGTCCTGGTGTCCCTCCTGAGTCACCCATCATAGAAGCTGTTGGGCATATAAAAGAGCAGCCACAAAGCAAGGCTAATTGTCTTTGATAAACTCAGGACTTTTTATATTATTGTATAATGGTCGAAATAGGTCAAATTACCACCCTTGACACTGCATACCCTACATCCCCATTGCTTGTCTTGCAGTCAGCCTGTTTTTAAAGAGTGATCTTTAAGGATAAGTGAGTAGGACTGGATAACAAATTAAAATACCTGCCACACAAAAGCAAATGTTTAACAAAAGGAAATCATGAGGAGTGTTTGATTTCTGAACTTCTGTACATCTAGATCTTAAACACATTAACATGTTCAAAGCTGAAGCCTTCAAATACATATTGTAATTAATTAGTACATTCCCTTCACTGTGTTTTATACTCAGGTATGGTGAAAAAGGAAATGCAATAAGGATAGAAATAGTAGTGTACACCGGCAAAGAAGGGAAAAGCTCTCATGGGTGTCCAATTGCTAAGTGGGTAAGTGTTTCCTATTTATAGATTGTTTTGAAGCTTGTTATCCAGAGCTGATACTTACACATTTTCAATAGCTAGAGTGACCTTTATTTTATTTATTCATTTATTTTATTTGTGTGTGTGTGTTTGTGTGTGTGTGTGTGTGTGTTTGTGTGTGTGTGTGTGAGGTCTCTACTAAAAATGCAAAAATTAGCCAGGGGTGGTGACAGGTGCCTGTAGTCCCAGCTACTAGGGAGGCTGAGGCGGGAGAATTCCTTTAACCCAGGAGGCAAAGGTTGCAGTGAGCCCCCATCATGCCACTGCATGACAAAAGTGAGCCTGTCCACAGTGAGACTCCATCTCAAAAAAAAAGATAGCAGCGTGCGTTATCAGGGAATGCCTTTTGAGGAAGGGAACATTTGAGCTGAGAAAGGAGTGACAAAAAGGAACTAAGTATGCAGAGGATAAGCAGGGAGTAGAATTCCTAAGCAGAGAAAACAGCAAGAAAAAAGGTCTTGGGTTAAGAAAGCAGAATTATTTGAAATTAAGAAGATAGTTAATTGAACCAGGTGGGGGTAAAAAGGTGAATGATTTTGTAGGCCATAGTGAGGAGCTGCGGTTTTAGCCCAGGAGTAACATGAAGGCTTTGAAGTATTTTAGACAGAGATGTGTTACCTGGTTTATGTTTTATAAATAATATTTAAGGAACTAACTGATAAGACCTGTATTCGTTATCTGTAGCTGTTCAGCATCTTTGAATAACAAACAGGTGTTCTCTCCCGCAGTTTTAGTGAGTTAGGAAACCAAGCAGTGCTTCTGGCATAGGCTCCTATGAGGATGCAATCATCTGAAATAACTTGACTGGGGAAGGGTGGTACAGCTGCAGGACCCACTTCCAAGCTCACTTGCAGGAGGCCTTCCTTCTTTGATGGCTGTTGGCTGGAGGCCTCAGTTCTTCCTCATCTTAAATGTTTTCATAACACAGCAGCTTGGTTTCCCCTAGAGTGAGTGAATGGAAAGAGAGCAAGGAGGAAGCTACAGTGTCTTTTATCACCTCCAGAGGTTGAGGCCAGTAGTTGAAGGTCACAGTGAACTATCATGGCTCCTGTGAATCCATAGCCAGCCACTGCACTCCAGCCTGAGCAACATAGCAAGACCCCACCCACATCGCTTTAAAAAAAATAAAAAATAAAATAAACTAGATTCTCTTATAAATCTCCCATGCTGGCTTTGTGGTAATAATTTTCTTGCTCTCCGCCTTTCTCCTGCCAGTTATAGATTTCTCAAACAGTATTGTTTTATTTTGTTTTGTTCTTTTGTGTCTGGCCTATACATAGTACCTTGTACATTTGATGAAATAAAGCACACAATTGGTTCCCAATATCTGGCACTGATGGTTGTTATGGATTTATTGAACTGTATCTGTTAGCTATTTCTGAATTGTTTATTAAGTAGCAAGGAATGAGTATGTCCTCATGATGAAGCAGCTGGCTTCCCTTACAGAGAGTATCCAAAGGAGAGCAAGGTAACTAGGCTATTGGTAGGATTGGAAATGATTTCTTTTTCCTGTCTTTAAAACCTTTTCTTTCTTTTCTTTCTTTTTTTTTTTTTTTGAGGCGGAGTTTCGCTCTTGTTACCCAGGCTGGAGTGCAATGGAGCGACCTTGGCTCACCGCAGCCTCCGCCTCCTGGATTCAAGCAATTCTCCTGCCTCAGCCTCCTGAGTAGCTGGGATTACAAGCACGCGCCGCCATGCCCAGCTAATTTTTAGTATTTTTAGTAGAGATGGGGTTTCACCATGTTGACCAGGATGGTCTCGATCTCTTGACCTCGTGATCCACCCGCCTCGGCCTCCCAAAGTGCTGGGATTACAAGCTTCAGCCACCGTGCCCGGCTTTAAAACCTTTTCTAATATAGTATTAATGACAGTGATATAAAGAATTGTAGTATATAGTTCTTTTTTTTTTTTTTTTTAACTTAAGAAGGCAAATAGCCGGGCGTGGTGGGTCACACCTGTAATCCAAGCACTTTGGAGGCCAAGACGGGTGGATCACCTGAGGTCGGGAGTTCAAGACCAGTCTGACTAACATGGTGAAACCCCGTCTTGAGAAAGAAAATATTTTTAAAAAGAAAAAAAAAGGCAAATATAGGCCAGGTGCAGTGGCTCACGCCTGTAATCCCAGCATTTTGGGAGGCTGAGGCACGCAGATCACCTGAGGCTGGGAGTTCAAGACCATCCTGGTTAACATGGTGAAACAACCCCATTTCTACTAAAAATTAGCTGGGGGTGGTGGCACATGCCTGTAATCCCAGCTACTTGGGAGCCTGGGCAACAAAAGGGAAACTCCTTCTCAAATTAAAAAAAAAAAAAAAAAAGCCGGGCGCGGTGGCTCAAGCCTGTAATCCCAGCACTTTGGGAGGCCGAGGCGGGTGGATCACGAGGTCAAGAGATCGAGACCATCCTGTTCAACATGGTGAAACCCCGTCTCTACTACAAATACAAAAAATTAGCTGGGCACGGTGGCGCATGCCTGTAATCCCAGCTACTCAGGAGGCTGAGGCAGGAGAATTGCCTGAACCCAGGAGGCGGAGAGCTGAGATCGCGCCATTGCACTCCAGCCTGGGTAACAAGAGCGAAACTCCGTCTCAAAAAAAAAAAAAAAGAACGAGGCAAATATAAACCCTGTATTTTAAATATTTTGCTAGCAACTTTCTGTTTAGTATTTTTCCCTAGTGAAGTTTTGTTTGTTTTGGAGATGAGTCTGTCTGTGTTGCCCGGGTTAGAGGGCACTAACACGGGGATCCCTAACCCCTGGGCCATGGACTAGTAGGAACCTGACCTCACGGCAGGAGGTGAGCGGCAGGTGAGCAAGTGAAGCTTCATCTGTATTTATAGCCACTGCCCATTGCTAGCATTACCATCTGAGCTCTGCCTCCTGTAAGATCAGCAGTGGCATTAGATTCTAATAGGATTGCAAACCCTATTGTGAACTGTATATGTGAGGGATGTAGGTTGTGCTCTCCTGAATCCGATGCTTGAGGATCTGTCACTGTCTCCCATCACCCACCTAGTAATAAGAAAACAATGGGACCACCTAGTAGGAAAACAAGCTCAGGGCTCCTGCTGATTCTACATTATGGTGAGTTGTATAATTTATTATATATTATAATGTAATAATAATAGAAATAAAGTGCATAATAAATGTAATGCACTTGAGTCATCCCAAAACCTGTCTCCCCAGCCCCATGTTCATGGAAAAATTGTCTTCCATGAAATGGGTCACTGGTGCTGAAAAGGTTAGGGACCACTACACTATCACATAGTTTACTACAGTCTTGAGCCCCCTGGCTCAAGTGATCCACCCACCTTAGCCTGGCAATTAGCAAGGACTACATGGGCACGACACCATGCCTGGTTAATTTTTTCTTCTCTTTTGTAGAGTCGAGGTTTTGCTATGTTGCCCAAGTTTGTCTTGAACTCAAGCCTCTGCCTGCCCCAGTCTCCCAAAGTCCTGGGATTACAGGTGTAAGCCACCAGCCCCAGTGGCAACATTCTATTTAAATTCTTAGGGTTATTAGGTACAGGAGGTATTTGGCATTTTTCATGAAGCAGGTGTATTTGAATTGCTATCTTATTTTCTCTTGTGCAATATGTCTTTTCAGAATGAGAAAAATACCTTTGTATATACTAATGTATATCTGGCTCTTTTCACAAATGCAAAAAAAATCCAATAATAAATAAAGCACTGCTGCTGAGCAACATATTGAAAATTTTGAGGCTGGGCGCGGTTACTCAAGCCTGTAATCCCAGCACTTTGGGAGGCCGAGACGGGTGGATCACACGGTCAAGAGATCAAGACCATCCTGGTCAACATGGTGAAACCCCGTCTCTACTAAAAATACAAAAAATTAGCTGGGCATGGCGGTGCGTGCCTGTAATCCCAGCTACTCAGGAGGCTGAGGCAGGAGAATTGCCTGAACCCAGGAGGCGGAGGTTGTGGTGAGCTGAGATCGCGCCATTGCACTCCAGCCTGGGTAGCAAGAGTGAAACTCCATCTCAAAAAAAAAAAAAAAAAAAAAAAAAAAGAAAATTTTGCTGTCTACTAATGATGATTCAAAAGTGTAATCTTGATAACAAAACCATGTAATACTATTGCATTTTTTTATTTGTTTGTTTCTGAGACCGAGTTTCAGTCTTGTTGCCTATGCTAGAGTGTAATGACGTGATCTTGGCTCACCACAACCTATACCTACGGGGTTCAAGCAATTCTCCCGCCTCAGCCTCCTGAGTAGCTAGGATTACAGGATTACAGGCATGTGCCACCACACCTGGCTAATTTTGCATTTTTAGTAGAGAGAGGGTTTTCTCCATGTTGGTCAGGATGGTCTTGAACTTCTGGCCTCAGGTGGTCTGTCTGCCTTGGCCTCCTGAAGTGCTGGGATTACAGACGTGAGCCACCTCACCCGGCCATACTATTGCATTTGTATGAAAATAAAATAGGTTTCTTTACTGATTATATATGTCAGAAAAATCATAATGTTAGTCAAACTTTATTTTTCCAATCTGTCCAGGTTATCTTATTTAAAATACATATTGTTCACTGCTTTTGCATATTGTAATACTGAGCCTAGAATTAGCACTTAATAAATTAGTGTTGACTCAATTAATATGAAGCTTGTGTACAACTATTTAGAAAATGTGTTTTAGGGCTAGGCATGGTGGCTCATGCCTGTAATCCCAGAACTTTGGGAGCTCAGGAGTTCAAGACCAGCCTGGACAACATGGTGAAACCTGGTCTCTACCAAAATACAAAAAATTAGCCAGGCGTGGTCACGTGCACCTGTAGTTCCAGCTAACCAGGGGCTGAAGCACAAGAATTGCTTGAACCCGGGAGGCAGAGGTTGCAGATTGTGCCACTACACTCCAGCCTGGGCAATAGAGCCACAGTCTGTCTCAAAACAAACAAACAAACAAACAAAAGTCCCAGGTGAGCGCAGTGCCTCATTATCTGTATAACTGTAGTT